TTGAATATTGTTTAATTACAGCTTCAAACTGTTCTTCATTAATAACAAATCCATTTGAGTAAAAACTGATTTCACTGTTTAAACCAAAATTTTCTACAACTGAAAAAAAACCACATCAAAAGTTATTCAAAATTATTAAATACAATAACACATAAAAGGGATGTTCGCTCTTTATTATTGTCCATAGTAAAAAAAGTATGCATTGAAACAAATAACGCTACTTATGAAATAAAGTACAAAAACAACACACCGCAAAAATAGATGATAACGCAATATTTTTTTCCTGGAATGATGCAGTAGCAACAAGCATTCTTATGTGTACATTTTTATATTTCAATTTTTGCTACTGAGCGGAACTGTACTTTTACAAATACACCTATTTACACATATATTTCTATATGTACAATTATATATAAAGAAATTTATTAATATTATTTATGTTTTTATTTTTATATATGTTATTTATATATATATGTTATTATATATTTATATATGTATTTCACAAAAAGATTAACTTTCATTCATATTTCTCACTAGAACACTATTTTGTTTCTTTTTGTCTTTTTAATCATAAAATTATTACCTTTTGCAGTAAAAGTTTTATATTCAATATTGTGAATATTAATAAATACTTTTTTATTTTTATACGCGGTTGGAATAAGCATTTAAAAAATTTTATGTATACAACTCACACCCGTTCACTAATAAGGACAAATGTAAACTGACTTAGAAGTAATTATAAAGCAAAATGCAAATATCCCACAGTTGTATTTCTGCATTGTGCAAAACGAACACAAAAATGAATAATGAAAGAAAGGGCACAAAGTAAATCAAATTTTATCAAAACGAACTAACATAAGCACAGATTATGTTCCGCAGAAGCTAAAACTTTGTTTGCAGCAATCCAAATCTCGACTCAGGTTGTCAGAAACATAGTTATGTTGCCAATAATACAAAATTTGTTTACCTCAATCTGAAATCTAAAAGAAAATCTCAAAAATCTGAAATCAAACATATTATATTTGCAGCAAACATTAAATAAACATAATTTTTAACTGTCAATCCTATGCTTGTTAAAATATTAATGTTGTCTAGTACTATATTTGCCAAAGTTTCTCCATTTAATCCATTTTCAGATACAAAATAATGAAGAACTTATCTCCAACTTGAGAAAATGCTCTTTATTACGAACACACAAATTTCTTTTGCTAATTTGGGAGATCTAAAGTATCCATTATCTTCAAAGCCATCAGTTAGATCTAACGGTTCATTATATCGCAATTCTCGTTTAATTGACATTTCGTCAACCAGTAAAATTATTGAATCTTTTTCCGTTTGCGTGAGCTTTAAACATTTTTCTTTTAATAAATAAAAGCCATTATTAATAAATCCTGGCTGAAGTGACTTTATAGGCATCCACCTTTTCAATGTAGATTCGTGCGGTTGGGCTTGGGCTGATCGCTTAATAAAAGTTTGCAGAACAACTTCACATCCTTATTTACTGTTTCTAAAGATTCAACTGCGCTCACAACACTTTTTTTGGTATTTCGTTTTGTTTTATTTTGCGAACGGAATTGTTGTAATGTCTTAAATTTCCTCTGCAGAGTATTATACTTTCTCCTATAAAAGTCCGACAATCGTATGTATTTTCCACAGTTGGTACATAACGATTCAGTGTTAACTTTTGAACTAATTTCTAAAGTATTTTCATCAAAAATGATTTTATCCGACAAAACACTATCAGAACATAAATGCTATACGGGTATTGCTACTTTTATGCCGATATCGCTGTCCACAAAATGTCTACTGCATATAAAAAGTTTCTTTCTTGGATTTTCTGCAATAAAACCACATATTTTCCTCCACATCTATCCCATTACAGATTCAATTGATGGGAACTGGAATAACCTCAACCCATTATCTTCTTTTTTTTTGATTTTCTGCATCCATTAATGGAGCAATGTTTAAATGATATTTTGTTTAGATTTCTTTCCATTGCCGCTAATTGAATTAAATTTTATACAGCATTTATAATTTATAAATTTGAAATAGTCTTAATAAATATGTTAAATTAAAACACTTAACAGTGATTTAAACACTTAAATCACAATTGCTAAATAGGCGTCACAAGTTCATTAAGTTTAAACTCTTTTAATAATTAAATTGCCGACGTTTTTTGACTTTTTACTTAGCACATATGATTTTAATAACTAAATTTATAAATTGACATTTATGTAAGGTGCAATTTTTTACTCAACTCAATGGATCCCATTAATCACTCGAGCTGTTTATTTATCCAAGTTATTTGTATCGAATTAGCTGGCAGGACATTTTAAAATAAAAGACGTTTCGCTTTCGGTTGAGAATTACATCTAAATTTCTTTATTGAATTAATATTGGTTTGTGCGCTGCACTTACAAATTATTTTGCTTATTTTACAAATTTACAAATTTTGAATATAAGCTAATTTTTATTTATTATTTAAATACAATAACAATGTCAGCTGCACTTACAAATTATTGTGGATCGCTGACATCGTAGCTACATATTAATGCTGACGCATGGTCAGCATTGGTTAACTTCTATATGAATACCGATAATATCACTCCACATAGGTAGAAATGCAATATATTTATTTAAAATTGAATTTGCCAATTGTGGACAATATAATTCATTTTTCTCAATATTATTGCATTTAATAGTACTTCATAAATTCAACGCTAAAGGGACTGCATTCTAATACAGAAGCCAAAGTATCAGAAGTTTCTTTGAAAGTTGGAATTTCATTAAATTCATCTGAATTGAAGTTGAATTCAAAATCTAAATAATCTGTCATGTCTTTCTTTTTAGTTAAACTCTCAAGTGCGTTCTTCACTTTGGGTGTGTTATTTTTGGTGCATAAAAAACCGCATTCTTTGCAGTCCTTTGTGGTACATAAATTGAAAACTATTCCCATAGATGCTCTTAAGAATTTTCTTAAATTGTTAAGCGTGAAATTATTATTTTCTTAAAAATATTAACTGCTTTGTCTATGTTTTTACAAATGAATTTGCAGTAATGACTAACATAAATTTGTATGACAACAAAGCACAATTTTTTTGGATTATTAACAAAAGCATATGAATGGTTTAAATATTCTAAAACAGAATCCATTTCATTGAAAACCTTCAATATTGCCCCAATTATTGCGAAAGCAACGTCTATTACAATTCTGCGACAAATTGACCAGGACAGATATTTACTTTTGCAATACTGTTTTATATGCTGCAAAAATTGTGGAATGTCTGTTATCAAGGAATCAAGCTATTGAAGAAACAATTTTTTTTTTTTTTCAGAAATATGACCGACTAAGGAATATAATGATATTCTATTTGTTTTAAATTTTAACTTACGAATAAGACTACCTTATATACGATTGCTTCTATATGATTCGTATAATTCATTTTTTTCAATAAATAACGTTCATTTTATTGCAATATATTAATTTGCGAGAAATTCCGTAATTAAACTTCAAGTTTTGTCGGCAAATATTATACGAGATGCTTAGGTGAAGACTTAAACATTAAATAAGTCTCAAGAAAGGGATCAAAGTGTAAGTTATTTGCTGCATATGCTTCAATTTTTACATTTCTATATGATAGTGATATGATAGTGACTTAACTATATCATTTCTTCCGATCTTTTCAAAACTTTCGCATTGTTTATTAAGTTCTTTTATTGCAAAATATAACAGCTGTACTGTGAAAAATTTCGTCTTTAAGAGAATATCTTTGCAATTCTCTGCATTGAGCACTTTGGATAGATTTTCGCCGTAGATTTTTGGATGAGCGTCTTAGATTTTGGGTGGTTCGGCTCCGGGCACCTAGTGGAGAAAACAGAATTATCCTTAATTATTAGGATATTTATATATCATAAGCATATATATCCTTATGCTACAGAATGTTGTTAATCAATCCGTGCGATTTATTATACCTTCAAATATATATCTAATAATTTTAAATCCTTTGTTGTAATACCACCGAAGGATTTTAAATAATTTTGTATATACTTCATTGATGGATATGTATACGTCATAAATACATATATCCTTATATTACGGAAAATTTACAATATGTTCGTCTGCTTCTTTATCCTTTCAATATAGTTAATAATTAAAAATTCTTTGTTGTAATGCCACCGCAGGATTGCAAATAATTAAGTATATCTTCTTTATGGATATAAGTTAATTATTAATTTTCATTTGTCCGGTATTTCCGGTGTTTCTTGTTCGACAGATCAAGTAGAAGAGACCGATTGCACTTTTGCGAATTTGGGAGCTACCGAAACCAAACGGGACTTTTCCAGACAAACAAGTGGATGCCCCGTTTTATTAATTCGTAGTTTTTACATAATTATTTAATTATTGCGACTGCACTTCACGACTGCTGCTGCTGCTCGTTTACTATTATTTCTAACTGCTTCTACCACGTTTTGTAACTGCTTCTGCTCCACGTTTTGTAAGAAGTTCGTTTTGTAAGAAGCTCGTTCAGTGAGAAGCTCGTTTAGTGATAAATTATATATAAATGTCATAAAAATATATACAGGCAAACCTATTTTTGTGCGGTAGATAGGGACCGCAGAAAAAAAAAACGCATAAAAAAAACGATCAAAAATTCACGTGTAGCTATAAAAAGTAGTTTTCACAACATAATTAAAAAAATATTTTTCTTATGCGGTGGATAGGGACCGCATAAAAAAAGTCTGCTGCACGAAATACCTTAAAACCTAGTTATTTTGATTAAAATAATACACATACAAATGTTTTTAAATATTTTATTTACACATATAATTTTTACACATACAAAATTTCTTATACATTATTCTTCGGAATCAGACAATATGCGAAATTTGTTTTGGTATGCTGGTTCAAAATAGCTTTCGTCACTCGTAGATATTACCTTGCACTCCTTTAAATTTGGATTTTTTTGTGTTACCATGTAGTCTGTGATTAGTTTTTGCGACTACTGTTGTTTCACTAGACGCTTATATACATCTCGGTAACCAGATATACAAGACTGAAGCCCTTTTTGAAATTCTGAAGTTCTTTTAGCATTATTGTCGTTCTCAAGAAAATGACTTTCTAATTTACCACAAAGTTTGAGTCCTGCATAGATTTTATCTGCTGTAATTGTTTCAGGTTCTCCTTGCTGATCAGTAATATCCGTTACATAATTTATGACATCATAATCCCTTACGGTTTCATCATGAATCATTTCGTCAAGATCATTTTCATTAAAGGAATCAAATCCTTCTCCGCCAATATCATGTGCTAACGGAAGGATTTCTGTTGTTAATGTTGATGCATTTTCAGTTGCACTTCTGTTAATGACACATTTCGGCCAGACAACCTTCCAGCATGCATTTAATGTGTGTTGTTTTAAGTGACTAATTGCTGCTGCAACGCGATTTATGCAGTCCAATATTGAAAATTTTTTCCAAACTTCAATCAAGTTTATTCCATCACTTTCAACTTTTTCCAAAATGTATTTGAAAGTTGACTTCACGTACTGTTTTTTAAAAGCTGCAATTATGCCCTGATCCAATGGTTGTATAAGGCATGTAGTATTGGGTGGTAAAAATACAAGTTTCACATTAGGATGTTCTATACAAGGATGACCGGGTGCATTGTCAACAATTAGTAACACATTAAAAGAAAGTCCCATATCAATCATATATTGCTTAACTTCTAGAACAAAGCAATCGTTGAACCATTTGTTAAAAAGTGCTGTTGTTACCCATGCTTTTTTTATTGGCCATAAAATGAACTGGAAGCTCAGCCACATTTTTATCTTTTAGCGCACGTGGGTGCAATGATTTATTTACCATTAGCGGTTTCAGCATTTTCGCTCCAGAAGCATTACTACAAAGTAAGAATGTTACTCTATCTTTTGCAGCTTTAAAACCACTTGCAGTTTTCTCGGACTTGGCGATATAAGTACGGCAGGGCATTTTTTTCCAAAATAATCCAGTTTCATCAGCATTAAATACCTGATCCGGGAAGTAACCACCATCTTCAATAATTCTTGCTAAAAGCTTACAATAATTATTAGCGGCTGTTTCATCAGAGAATGCAGCTTCGCCCGATATCTTCAGATTGTGAAGTGCGTGTCGTTTTAAAAACCCGGTTAACCAGCCATTGCTTGCCGGAAATTTCGAGTTTCCAATGTCAGACGATGAACAAGAGGGTATATCTTTAAATTTAAATTTTTTGGCGCAATACCACCCTGACGAATAATCAAGAACTCGTGTTGCTTGAAAAGTACGTCGTCTTTTATTCGCATTCGCCTGAACCTTTTGTGATAAGTACACAAAGCTTTGAACTGATCATAATTGAACTTGATGCAATTTAGCACTTTGATGCACTAGCCGGTGCTAGTGTTTTGTTTCCTTTTCTTTATAATGTTGTTGCCAGTCCTTTCTCATGCCGGCCAATATTGCAGTTGCACCACCGGTACGACGACTGGGTCTTTTCTCTATTTATAAAAAAATTTTTGAGATAGTTTATAAGTAATTAAATTAAATAACAACTAATATACCTTCATCTGTGGTACGGACTGAAACAAAACTAGTGTTACAAGAAGTGCTCTCATCCAGAGTGAACTCGGGATTAATACTCCTGTTATTGGATAGTATTTCACCCAATTCACTAAAAAGAAGGAATGCATAAAAGTTTATAAGTGTTTAAAAATGCGCATTGAAATTGTGTTTAATCAAAAAAAAAACATAATTAATTAGCACATGCAATTTTAATAGTGTGATTTTACCTTTGGTAGGGGGAAACCAGCTGATTTCTTCCAGTTTGGCTATTGTTCAACTTAGCCTTTTTGTACTGCTGCTCCATAGCCTTGAATTTGAATTGCACCTATGAACAATGTGATTAAATGATCTATAACTCTTAAACATTATTTATGTAATAGTAATATACCTGAGTTGGAGTAAATAAGTAGCCTACTTCGCTCATTGATGTGGAAATAAATTTCTTTACTCCTCAACTTACGGCATTTTCCAACCATTTTGATGTTCGTGGATACCAGTGACAGCAACTCTTTAGTGGAATTGTGTGTCCATGTGCATTTTGATTCTATATTTTCCTGCACACTGAACACTAATTCATCACACTGCCCCTCTTCAGCAACAAACCGCTGTGACATCTCATCAACAAGTTCATCATCTAATAGAAAATAAAATATTATTATTATAATAGAAAATTATATAATAAATTCCCATTAACAATGTGTAAATACAATTTCTTACCATTTTGCAATTGCAAAAAAGTTGTTGGTGAATATGAAACAACTGTTCTTTCCTCCATTTCGTCTGTAATAATAACATAAAATTAAATTTTTTATAATAAATTTATATAACAGCACTCTAACTCACTTTATTAAAACAAAATTTAACTTTAAATAAATAAATTTTAAATAGTATTGTAACGACACAAATTTACAAAGTAAATTTCTGTGCTACATAAAGCAAGAAGAAGAGAAAAACACAGTCTGTGTGTTAAATAACCGCCACCACTACACATAATATATCTAACAACTCACATGAAAATAACTGAAGGTGACTTAACTGGAAAATATAAAATTGAATTAAAATATTTATTTGAAATATCATGGACATTACCTGTGATCCTCGATGCTAATGTACCGCGGGCATCGCTACATGTAATGTGCAAATTCTAAAAATATACGGAAAAAAAATTAACTTTTTGTTAAAACTTTTATGAATGGAACACTTATAAACGCAACAACAATGAACAATTATTGGCGAAAACATGTTTAAATTTTAAACAAATGTCTATTTTTTTTACAATTATATATAAATAAAACAAAACACAAAACAATTTAACACTCGTGGTTGTCCAATTTTATTTTTATATATATGCGTAAACGAAAAACACAAAACAGTTTAACACTTTTGGTTGTCCAATTTTATTTTTATATGCGTAAACAAAACACAACAAAAAAACTAAGCACGCCAACATCAATTTTATTTCTTTTAATATTTCTTTTCTTTTCACATTTAAGTTGGTAAAAATATTAAAATCACAAAATATATATATTATACCTCGTTTTAATTATTATTAAATTACTATTATATATATTATTTAAATAATAAAAGAACCACACACAAAACACGGCACGTTGTAAAAAAGTACTAAAAATCACGGCGAAGCAGAAGAAGTGGAAAAACAGTAGAACACAAAGTTCAACTTCACGGCGAAGTCAAGTACAGCAAAGAATACCGGTACGCTACACCAAAAAGCTTCGGTATGCTCGATATAAAAGGAGGCGCATTTCGTATAATGGGGACTTGGTTTGCGACAAGTGAAAGAGCAAGTACTCTGGCTCATTGGGCCTTCTGGTAAATTTTACCAAAACTTGAAATTTTACTTTTCCTGAAACAAGTACACTGGCCTATTGGTCATCTGGCACATTGTGCCACAAATCTGGTTCTTTGAGTCAAACGTAGTGTAAAATTCCTTTCCTGTCTTATGTGTATTTTTTTAACCTGGCTTATTCGGTCAAATAGTTTTTTACAGCACGGAGGAAACGTTTTGTTTATTTTTTTTTAACAACAGAAGAGGGGCTTAAGAAGTCACACGGGTTTTGCTAAGATTCTTTTAACAAGTAGTATATGGAGAAGTGGGAAATTTTGGCATCAACATAATTTTTTTTATTTATTATTAGAAATGTTTCCAATGAATTTTAATTAAACTTTGTTAATCATAAGTTTATGAAATAATAAAGTTATATATATAATTTATACATATAAATCACGTTTTGTTTTCTTCTAAAACCAACGTCTCGGCAAAATTATAAATATATTGTCACGACTCTGGACGACGGCTGAGGATACCCCAGCAAAAACTAAAAATTTTTGAACGTCACCAAAAGTGTCGTTACAGTATTTAAAAATATTTGCGCTTGTTGCGAAACTTTCTTTGTTTTTCAAAAAAAAAAAAAAAAACAGCTGTTCTCACCAGACTTTACACAAAGCTGACTTTACACAGACGCTCTCAGTCTGTATTTTACTTGTGTTTTACTCATTTTACTATGAGTAGCTCGTGGAACATACCTTTTATATGCACAAATTGTGTTTTTTCGGACTGCACCAAAAAATAAGAATTTTTTTCCCACTCTCAAATTTTACAAACTTTCAGTAATGGTATGGGGGTGTCTTTCGTCCAACGGTGTAGGGAACTTAAGATTTATTGAAGATACAATGGATCAACATTTATACTTAGATATTTTAAAGACAGATTTGGTATCCAGTTCTAAAAAGTTTGGCTTTTTTATCCAATCAAATAACCCAACAAAATTAAAATTCAAATTATACCAGGATAACGACCAAAATATAAATCGCATTTATGTATGTTATGAACAATTTATAACTGTTCAAAAGTTATAGATACTCCTGCCCAAAGTCCGGATTTAAATCCGATAAAAAAAGCATGGTCGTTTTTAAAAAAGAAATCAAATTCTTTCTCCAGATCTAATGCCAATGATCGTAAGGAAATTCGAGTGGTTTTATCAATTATTCGCAACATTCTTCTTATATGGCGATCAGACAATGTTTTAATGCGGTGGCCTGCTGGTTTTAAACTAATGCGATCCTCATTTTCAGCTCTGTTTATAATATTATAAATTGTTCTTAACTTAATACTAAATATTTGACTTAATTACTTATCAGATTTATCGAGGTATTAATTATGATATATTAACTCAATATTATTTGAATTTGTTCTCTTGCCTGTCATATTTAATCACCTACGTTCTAGTTATTCCTTCGCTTAAAACACTGATTTATTAACCCTTTCATAATAGCCCTGTAAACAGATTAAAAACAGTGTTGTATTTAAAAGAATTTACTTTTGTTTCTATTTTACATGGAAATAACACGCATATATCGTCTACCAAGTTCACAAATCCATTCGGTGCGATGGTTACATTGCTGTATGTTATCGCACGCTCGCTCTCACTTTGTAGGGTTAAGTATAAATCAAAAAATTAATTAGAAGAAAATAATAGAGAATAAGATTGTTTTTTTTTTCGTTTCTTTTATTTATTGGATCACTTAAAAAGTCGAACAATAATTATTTAAATCTTACATACTAAAAATATTAATTCAAAGTTTATGTCACTACATAAACTTTCCTTGTTTAAAACGTAAACTTATAATTTAATAATATAAAACTTAAAAAAAAAAAGGAAAACTTTGTAAAAAGAAAAAAAAACATTATAAAAGTAATATAAAATTTTATAATATAAAATTTATAATTTTTTAACTGGTTGTAGTTATACATTTATGATTCATTAAAAGTATACCGGTAAATCCGATCTTTTGAGACGGGAAATGCTTCCCGTTCTAGCAAGATATTGAGCAAGTGGGTTTGGATGCACCATTATTATTATTATTATTATATTATTATTTATTGATTCAAAAAAATTCATACAGCACTTACAAAAATTATAGAATTTTACTTAAAATCTAAATTGACAATAACATATTTGTTGTGTGTCAGATTGGCATACAAAAGAAGGTGCATAATATTAACATTATTATTTATATAAATTCTTCAATAATTAATTTTCTGTAACTCAAAACACTTTTCATAAAATTATACAGTTTATAAATATTGCTACCGTTTAATAAGATT